TATATATATATATACACACACACATATACATATATATATATATACATATATGTATTTATGTATATATGTATACATATACATATATTGATAAGTAATGATATACCTGATTCTAACATTTTATTTACTTTAGCCTTTGCATCCACCTCGTCATTTTCCACCAATATATATATATATATATATAATGATTGACGAGTCAACGAGTGGCCTTTGCTGTCCCTCAAGCTATGATGGTTATTCAAGGCCTCACACTTTAGTTATCCTTTTAAACTGACACGTTGAATTAGAGGATTCTCTGCTTGCTCATTGATAAGTCATATACCATCCATGCAGTTCCTTATCAGAACAAACTTTGAGGGATGTCAAAACTTTGCTAAAACGTGAAAGGGGTATTGATTAGAGTAACCACCAATACCAATAAATATAGAAACACATGGTCAGAAAGAATAAATTTATAGAGGCCATAACAATCAGTTATGCTCTTGATCATTAATTTTTAAACATAATGATTTTGGCATCATTGATTTTACTAACCGGTATCCTCATAGCTGATCCCATGAGCAGATTAGAGGGGGTTGCGATAGGTTGATGTAGCAAAACTTTGTCACATCTCATGGCTTGACTTTACTAACTGGTTTATGAATTATGATGGATTGGAGTGGGAAAAGAGGATTTGTATAAGTGAGCCTTGAAAATTATGGGGACAAGGCTTTCTTGAGCTATTATTACGTTCCAATAGATTGTACATCTAGAGAAGTTAAGTTAGAAAGGAAACATTAAAAGAAATAGTAAAAATGATTGCAAGGCGCACCTCTGTGCTTCGTACTTTGGCAAGCGCACAGGCGCGCTTTGGACAACACTTGGCCAAGAGAAACACCAGAATAGACTTGGTCAAATTTAAGCTTTTTAGTATTATTTTATTCTAATCATGCAATTCCTTATTTCTGATACAAGGTGATATTTCTGCTACTATGCTCATTCCTTATTTAGAATTTATTTTAATCTAATTGATTCGAATAACATATTGGCAATTCTCTTTGGGTTTTGTAGACCTAAATCACCATCTCATCAATTAATTTACTCATCAAAACAGATACATATCTAGCACGTCATACAAATAGAAATCATCTCTGTTCAAATATTCTTCAGTACGAATAGACTAAGCAATTGCGTGCGTTCAACTAGAAGGTTCTTTCTCAGAGTATCTCAAAAATGCACTCCACAAATATGTCAACGCTTCCTCAAAATGGGGACACACTTCCTCTGGATCTTGATTTCAGTACTGTGACAACCTTCTCCATATTTCTTTTTAATCCTTCTCCAGATTCAATTAGAATGAAAATCTTTACTAGGCATATTTAATTTTGCTCAAAAAGTAACCGACATCAATTAACTTCTAGTCCAGGCCCATACAGAAACTTTACATGAGCTTGATAAAGATGAATAAATAAACCTAGTGGGTAATCTGGGTCTCTTCCTAAAGAAGACAACAGTTGGTCAACACATTTAAAGTCCATCTATTGTAAACAAAATAAATAATCTTAGAATTTACACAAGTAGAGAGGGACATTCAAAACAGTTCAAGTCATTGAAGAACTAAATATTCTCAATGGAAGAGAGAAGATGAGAGATAAGAGATAACAAAGAGGAAATAAAAAAGAATGAGCCACTGGAAGAGAAAAACTAACCAATACATCACCCCATGAGAATATGTTCTCAATGAGAACTTGGTCTATCACATAAATGCAGAATTCTGCGATTCTGCCAATTCCTGCTTCACTAACAACTCTGCTTTGCGGATCATAAGCAGCATTTTTAATCTCGTAACAGATTTTTGCAGCAATTTCCTGTGTAACTGATACAACTGCTGAACATATTCTTCCATAAACGATACACTTTTGAATACAACTGTCATGCCATTTTTCGTGATGAAATCCCCAGAACGTTTGTCCTATAGATAACTCTTGCTTAATAACATCAGTTGGAGTGTCCACATTCTCTCCAGTGTAAAGTATGGGCTTTATTTCCACAGAAGCTCTATTTGCCAAAACAATGAAAATCAATAAAACAAATTTTTTAGGCTCAATCTTATTCTTCAGCAGAAATTTAGTTAAAATTAATGCCAGATCTGTATAACATAAGCTATAATTTATGAATTTATAAATAAGCGAAAAATGAGTGAAGAAGTTTTGCAAGACTAATAATTAGTTCTAATTTTGAAGCATCTTCTTAGAGCAAAAATATAAAGGAAAGTTTGTATCCGTGGCTAACTTATGTGGTAATTATAAATCCAAAGCATGACAATAGCCAGTACCTTTTTGGCAGATCAGGAACAAGAACACATAAAATGGTGGGACGAAGAACTTCACACATGTCCGACCTGCTTCCACTGTCTAAGCATACCTTTACTGGCGCAAGAAATTCATCCCGCTGATGGTCAATGGCAACACAGTCTGATTTATTCAAAGATTCTGAGCAATAAATCACCAGGAGTAGAGCACATGTAGAAATCGAACAGTTGAAGCACTTTGCCACGGCTTCGCAGTGCTCTAGTGCTCGTTGAAGCTCAAAGGCAGGACCTCTATTACAAAGCAACATTGTTGGGGGGTCAAGTCCCAACTGGCCAGCCATGTACAAAACATCCTTGTGCAAGGTTGCCTGAAACAAAGAAATGAATAGATTGACAGAAAATTACAAAGAGACTTTTACTGACAAGCACCATTTAAAAAATAAAAAAACAGAGGGAAGCAACAGGTGAGTTTTATATTCACAACACACATGTTAAGTTGATGTGAAATGCAGTCTCCAAAAAGGTCAAGCCCTAGTCACATGTTTTAGCTTAAGTTAAAATGGTATACTGTTCATCAATTGCGTAAAATGGGAAAAAATGGGATTTGAGGCTAATCTAGTCAAGGAAAAGCAGTGCCACCATCCATAACAAATCTCCACTGCGAAGTAAGAAGTTTAGTTATACATAAAAGAATAACTAAAGAAATCAGTTAATAAAAAACTAGCACAAACAGAAAACTAAGATCCCGTTTGATTCCCATTAATTTATTTTATGGTTTGCTACATGACCATTTTTAACCACACAATCACCCAATAAAATATTATACACATTCTCCCAAAACTTTTCCCACTTTTTAACCACACATTCTCCTAAAAATATTATTCAAAACTCATTTTCTCTCCAATTAAAGGGAATCAAACAGGCACTAAGTTTCATCTCATATCATTTTCTGGCTGTATGGTCCAATATAAGACTAGCACAAACCAAAGTTTGGAAAGTGTCTAACCTGGCTGTATGGTCCAATACAACTAGGAGCCCAACAAGAAATACTTTGAACATGCAAGACATTTTTTGTGTGACCATCTGATACCAAGACTTCAACATATGCCCTCCCCAAACCAACTTGCATCAAAGGAAGTTCAATTGTAGAACGTGATGGTACACCATAGCGACATTTCTCCTGAGTAATAAATTTCACGTATGTTTCATTCGCTACAGAAAAGTCATTCATGTTGGCAACATATAAATGAATATAAAGAACATTCTCCCAAGAGCAATTGTATTCCACAAGCAGCAATTCAATTTTCATCAAAACCGCTTCCAGATCCTCCCGCAAATCTGTGAAATGAAAGCACCCCATTAGAGTAGGTAAACAGAATAAAAGAAAGAAGAAAATAGAGAGAAATTTGCATTATGAAAGAGAGCGTTTTAGAGTTCCCTATTTTGCCAGATGACCCTTCCATTGTGACTACCATACCTCCTGATGTGTTACAGGCATCTTGCAGCCAACAAGAGATGGAAAAGGTGCCATCCTTCTTGGATTTGGAGATGCGGAGTCTTTGATTTATGTCTGGTTTTAAATTAGAAATTAATCCAACTTTCCGTATTGGGGCTTCACCAAGATTTTTCCAGTCCCCCGATACTTCATATACTGAATCCATTTCCTCCACAGTGACCTCATTACTACCACCAATGTCACTTGGAGACGCAGAATCCAGTTTTTTCTCTAAATGGAAGGCCAAGGGATGAAGGACCCCAACAGGAGCTATGTGATCTGACGAATGTAAAACGACTTGAAATTTATCTAGCACAATTCGAGCATTCTGCAAACGATCTATATGTTAAAAATATTGAAAGGATGGAAAGGGAGATTAGAGTGAGCTAAAGAAACATATAAGTTTAGCTAGATATTCCAAAATTAAGCATGAGTAATAGTTGAGGTGAACACAAACTATACACACGTAGCGTTCCCCTGCCCTGCCTCAAAGAAAGAAAATGAAGAAAGTGCAAAGATTGAAATGTCTGGATTAAGAAAGAAATATATATTGAAAGGGACACTTACTTTAAAGAGTGGACAGTCAAGAGTTAATGTTTCGTATTCACCCCCTTCACCACATACATTTACTCCATACAACCTGTCAATATATCAATAGTATAATTATCAACCGCTTAAAAACCATATATTATTTGAGCCGAACAGGTTAACATACTCTTTTAGCTTGTGAAGATGGGACTCCAAGTGTTCTATTTCCTTTCCCAAGTGTTTTGAAGGGTGCAACCCAATTGATGCAACCTTTGACAAGAAGAAATCAAGAAGTTAGGTACACATTAAGACTAACATATAAGAATATTCTTGTTTGCCCAAGCGCAACAAACTAATTTGAATTACACAAAAGAGTTGCAGAACAATCAACAAAGAGAAACTAATAATAATGATCTAGATGTTGTGAAAATTGTTTCTTAGATGAGGCAGCATTGTAATTCAGAAAGTACATATTCAAATACTATATATCATATAGAATCTGAATAAAGAGTACTAGAGACCAGCTAAAACTGATATAAGGGGCTTTCTAAAAGAATTACATAAAAAAATTCCCTCCCCACTGTTGAAGAAAACCACAGTACAAAATTAACCTACCGGATTTTTGAAAAAATGTTTTACTTAATATTAATGACTAAACTGTATTAAAAAACACTCAAAAGATTAATTTGAGTAGTGAACTGCAGAATGTAGCATTCTTTAGGACAAAGACAGTAAGAAAGGAAAAAGATGTGTGCATTATACCTTTACTATAATGGCAACAATCCCACAGCTTATCTAATAAAACAAGACAGTAGAAACAATGAGTTAATACTAATAATTTCAGTATTATGGGATATCATATGACTGATAAGAGGAAATTTACCATTTGTTGAAGGAGATATGACTGATCTTGCTTCCATAGATAAGCCAAAGAAACAAGCCCTAATCTTGAACATACACTTTCCACGCGCAACCTTTGATAGTCGGATGCAATTGCACCAGAGGAGACTGCTGAAACAGAGGGTATCTGTTTTTTTACTTCACTTAAGAGGATAAACATATCTTCAACTTCATCACCAGGGGTCGTGCTGTAGCTAAGGCCCTGATGCCTGTGAAGCCCAAAACAATAGATTGTAAAGTGAAAGTTCACTAATAAAACATTTAAACTTAGTATATATCAAACAGGCTAAGTGAATATCAAACAGACTACATTTTCAAATATGGTCTTCAAAGACTTACAAGTTTGATGTTCGTTTTAATAAGTTGTCAGCGATATAACAGACACTAATAAAGATTACCTGAGGAATTACAAGAGCACTTCAATTGGCTAATAATAATAATAATAAAAAGTAAATTTTATTCTTATGATACTATCTTATATACATGGACACAACTGGTGTCAGAGTTGAGTTCATATAGAGGACATAGAAAATGAAGCTCACATACCATAGTGTCTCGACGTTTTCGGTCAATATATTCTAAAATCAATAATTCCTGGATAATACAACTAATATTTCCATTCAATCCATCCATTAAATTTTAATAACTAAAAATAGAAAGCTTGTATTACATGCAGCCAAATGAAAAAGAAAGACACTTTTGTTCGAAGCATAGGATATGCTACCTCCAGAACACAATAAAAATAAAATACAAGTATATCCATGCACTTGTATATATGTTTGTTTATGATACAAGTTATTTTTCCTTGTCAAGTTACACCTATAACTTACATGATATTTCAATTATGAGCCACATGCTTCATGATTGATCTGAAGTAGTCTTTCTTATGAATTTAACATGGATCAGGACGCGCCAAACACTCAGATTCCAACTCCAACATTTTCTTGTTTCGGATAGAGTCAAAAAATCAAAGATTGTTGGACATGTTATTTGGAGTGTTTAAAAAGTATCACTGCTTGGACAGGCAAACATACGTGGTCTCCTTGAAATTGGCTTTGCTTCTCAGATTACTAGTTCCCCATAGCAGAAAGTATTTAATTTGGTGCAGAAAATAACACAAAATAAAGATGGGGTTAAACTTGTAACTTCATAAATCGAGTCAATTACAACATTGAGCACTAGAAAAAACTTAAAAGGAAAGTTTTCCTTTATCCAGAATATAAAACCCTAGCAATTCAAATTCAAATGCGAAATGACAAGAACAAAGGAAACCGTCTGTCATCATCTCCTCTTTAAAATTGCACAGTGTGATAAAGGATGTTAAAATGTTTAAGTTATATTGCTCATATAATTATATTACGGCTTTCCAATGTTAACTAAATAGATATTAGATTATACCAAAAGCTTCCTGCTTAAAGGGCTTGCCTGGTAGATCCTTGAATTCGCCTACGAAATAATGGAATCCCCATACATTTTGCATAGCTAATAACTACTTGGTGTCCTACCTGCAAAAGATATTTAACAATTTCCAAATAATTAGTGCATAAAAATATAGCTTAAATGTGCATCCTAAAGTAACACCAAAAACGTTATCTGAGCCCAAAACCTCAGCTTCAATGTTAATTAAAAAGAAAACCTAGAAACAATCTATCTTTTTTCCATAATACGTACAACAACAAAAAGAATGAGCATTAAGCATTAATAAAGATGACATCCTTACTGTCTGATACATGTAGCTATCAAGCTCATCTTGTTCATCATCAGCCGGCAACAAATTTGCGAGCGCCACTATCTGAAGTTACAATTATAAACCACCATCCAGTTAACATAAGCAAAAACTTATATACAATTATGCAAAGATGGAAAGAGAGGAGAGGAAAGAGAAGACCTTGTGGCCATACTGGAGGCATTTCATCATGGCATAGCAGCTGTCCTTTCCGCCGCTGACTAACGCCACCACCTTCATCGTCGCTAGCCGGAATCGGACAGGCAAGCACCAGCTTACCAGGGTTTTAGAAGGGAATGAATTTCTTATTTTTTATTTTCCTCTTAAGACAGATGACACTTTGTGCGGCAACGGGCGAGCTGGCTCACGAGCTCGTGGCTCGTTTACAACGAATCAGCCCTCGAGCTCGTGAGTCGAGCCGAGCAAGCTCATCTTTCTTTTTTTTCTTTTTATAAAGCTCGTTTGATTTTTATTTTTTAAAATGCATTTTTCTCTTTTTTTATTTTTAATCACACATTCTTCATTAAAATAATGTTACACATAAATAAAAAACTTTTTATCCACACATTCTCCATCAATTTATTATTCTAAAATTCATTTTTCCTTAAAAATAGATATCAAATACCCTCATAATAAATAAAAATGTTCTCCTTTGTTCTGACTTGGACAGACTACTTAAATTTCGAATAAGCGGAGCTAAAAATTGTACAAAGAGAATTTGTTTAAAAAATTAAAAACAGTATTATAAAATAATATTTTTTTATTAATATGATTATATAAAATATCACTTACATAACGACATGCAATTTCGACATATTTATTTTACAATAAAAAATGAACATCTTGTCAGTTGTTCACACACATTAATGCTTCCAAAAATATCTTCTTTCAGTCGGCTCTTAACCTGTGGTAGAACTCTCTTACTTGCATTAAAAGCAGACTCCGAAACTACAATGCTAATCGGAGGTACTTATAGGTCGTTTGCAATAGTATAATCCACTACCCATCATCGTTCGTACTTTCACCATAATTCAATTATTTCTTCTGAACTTTTTAAAATTGTTTTGCTATTAGACATATTATGATTAAAGTAATCAATTTATTCAACATGTAATATATTTGGACTTGAATCAGATGTCTGATTACATCTGGTAGACATACTACTACTAGAAGAATCTATTGCATTTGCATCATATCTATACGAATTAATGCTTTAAATAAATATAATATGTTTGCACCGTTTTCTTTAATATCAATGGGGAGAGTAGGTGCAGAGGATAATCGACTAATATTTGTATCCATTCGTTCTGCATATATTTCATATAAAATTTGCTCTAAATTTTTTTGAGTGATAAGAGTGTTAAAAGTTAAAACTTTTGAAATATGATCAATTATATATTTAGTACCTGATAAATTGTATGAAGGCCCATGATGCATGTTAAAGGAAATAATTTAGGTAAGTCTTTCCAATATTTTTCTAAACTTTAATTTCGTAGAATATGTAATTGCACTAAAATCGTGGTAATTTTTGTATTAATGAAAAATTCTTGCAATTATATAAAGATATTCAAGCACTATACAGTTTGTGGAAAAGTAAACTCCAGATAAAATATCTGTGCAATCATAAAAAATTGTCAAAATTTTTTTAATTTTAAAAGCTAAAAGCCGATCGGATTTATTCAAAATAGCATCATCATTGTTTTTTATGTGCCTATTGTTATAAAATTAAGTTATTAAATATTCAAATATTTTGCATGATTTTAATAACATGTATGTGGAGTTCCATCTATACATTACATCACTAACAAATATTTTCGTATTCGTTACTCTAAATTTGGCATAAAATTCCTCAAAAACTCATTTTCTACTAGGTAAAATTGTGATATATATTAGTGCATCTCTAATTCTTTGAATTTCATTTTTAATATGTTTCAAACTATCCTACACAATTAAATTAAAAATAAGATACGCAACGAATATGAAATAAATAACCACTGAAATCATGTTGTAGTAACCTACACAATTTATTGATAATTGGCTTATTAACACTAGCGTTGTCAAACGTAAAAGAACGAATTTTACTCTCACAATGATATTTTCTAATAATGCTCATAATAGCGTTATATATTGCTAGCATTGTTAGGGAACTCAATAATTTTAAAAGCAATAATTTTTTTATACATGCATCAAAGTGAGTCTATGTAGTGTGCAGGTACAGTTATATAACCCATTTCATTAATCTCCACATATATCTAAAATTAAAGATATAACATTCCCATATTTTTGCAAATCGGTAATCAATTGTTTTTTTGTATTAAGTAAATATTCTATTGTATTGAAACGAAAAGTGTTTTTACTTACCTCAACGTATCTCAGTTGAAAATATTTTTTCATGTAGAATGCGAAAATGTTGCTCCGCTAATGCTAGAGGCAACTCGGCACTAGCAACGAACTTCACCATTCTCGTTCTATCTTTTTCCTTCAAATACATCTACATGCAAAGTGTTGTAGAAGTAAAACCGGCGATCGGACTATCATATTGCAGTTGTGTTTGACCAGCAGCAAGAAGCTCATGTTTGGCAACATGTACTTTGTAGTGATGGTTCAATGTGTCATACCAATGCCCTTTTATCATGTTAGTCGTTGTTAACAATATTTACATTCTAATTTAGACTCTACAACACCACCCACCACACGGCCCATTGGGATCAATTTAAAGTGATCCTAGCATTTTGCTTGTTTTTTCCCTTTTCGCTTCCATCTTGCATCGAGAATATCTAATTCATGTTCATCCTCTTGTTCCGCTTTGGGAACATTAACGTCATCCAAATTAATTGGATTACTACCTCCGTAAGCATTCAAATCTGGAATATTTTTTGAAATGGATACTTCATTGAGACCGACAAATTCATTTTAAAATTGACTTTGCGGCGTCATAGATAATTCGCCTCCGATACCAAACAAGCTCTCAACAAATTAGTGTGAATCCATTTGTGAATTGTGGTGAAATGTATTGTAATTTGTATAGTATAGAATGTATAGTGTATAGTAAGTAATTAAGTAAATAAAGAGTATAAAATGAAATCAAGAATTAAAGAAAGTTTATGTATAAGATTGTAATTGTAAATTTGTAATGTGGTAATTTGGTAATTGATATTGAATAATTAGTACTAAAGGTAGAAAATTAGAAATAAATGCAGTAGATTGTAAAGTGTGGAGGAGAGTGAGAATTGTTATTGGAGTGTTGTGTGAAAATTTTGAAAATTTGTGGAGGTATTTGTAGAGTAAAAAAAAAGAAGGAAAAAATTAAAGTGGTCGTTTTGGCCACTTTTGATACTTCATCACTGTGAACAGTGACCAAAACAATCGCTTTTTTGAAAAATGACCATTTTTGTCACACTCGATGAGTTGGCTCGGGCTCCGGCTCCGGCTTGTCCGAACCTTCCACGAGCCATCTTTTCACTAGTCGAACGACCAAGCTAACCAGCCGCTTGACTCATTTGACACCCCTAGATGATAGGATCAAATCAAGTCAATATATTCTTGGTTAATGATAAATTCAAAATCAAACCCTAACTTTTTTTGTATAAATATTGTTGAGGACACAAAATTTAATAGAAAAAAATTATTATTTTCCAACCCATTGAATATTAGCCTATTAAAAAATTATACTCAATAATTAAACAAAAGGAAAATTCGGATATCCACACTAAAACATTGAAAATGTTATAAAACTATTGAGAAAAATATGAACATTGAAAGTATCATTGCCCAATAGGTATAAGCTTTCAATGAAAGTTACATTTGACTGGGTATGCAATCAATTGAGACTTTTAAGGACTTTATGTGATTTAAAAAGTTTAAAGGTATTTAATTTAGACTTTTTGAAATTTTCTAAAAATATTAGTGTATTCAATTGAGACTTTTATAGATTTTTAAATTGTGACTAAAAATCACGTTGTATTCCATTAAAACTTTTTAGAAATTTCTATAAATTTTAGGGTATTCAAAATTTAATCACTTTTAAAGACTTTTATAAAAGACCCTGGGGTACCAATTTTTACGTAGAGAGCACTAAAATAAAATCTCAAAATTTGTCTCTTATTAATCACAATTTCACCAAAAATTAAAAAATTAAAAATTGTTCTTTTTAATATTTTTTTATTATATTGGGATGGAAAGGGGACAGAGAATGAAAATTGTAGGAACCACCACCTCGTATATAAAAATTTTACATTATTGCACTTGATTCATTCAAATGAAAGTATTTTAAATTCTTTTGAATTTTAAAAAATCTATAAAAGTGTTAAAATGAAAGTCTATAGAAGTCTACGAAATACTTCCACTAATTTCATATAAATTTATAAAAAAAAAAAATCATGAAATCCATAAAAGTCATCAATTAAAAAAGTTCATCAAAGTTTTCAAAATTTCCAATTGAATGCACCGGCTTAAAATATAATCTTTTATAATTGTAAGATAAGATAAGATAAGATTTATTTATGTTTCCTAATAATACAAAATTGTTATTGATAATTATCCCATAATTTCACAAAACTCCCCTTTGATGATTATTTACAAAACAACTTTTTTGTTAACTACTTTGGCAAAAATTTAGTTGGACAAAAATATTGAAAGAGAAAAGAGAGAGTATACAATTAATTATAAAAAAATTGGAGTAATAATATATTGTCTCAATAAAACATTGTCAAGAAAATTCAGCGGGACAAAATTTGAATGAAGAAAAAAGAATATAGTTACTCTTTCGGATTTCAATTAATGAAAATTCTTAAATCGAGCCACTCATGTTTTGTACGCCAATGTCTTCAATATTACAATTCAGGTGAAATATGTTTCCTCTTGTCTTATTACATCCTTCAAGAAAAAATCGTTTTTATACAAAAATATCTTTGGTGATTGTAACAACATTATAGTTCAACAAAAACTAGATATTGTTCTTGTTATTTTCAAGAGTCTCGTACACAATTTCTAACATATAAGAGTATTATTTTGAGAATAAATATCTTATAAGTTATGGACATTCATTACACAAATAATATGCTTCATTAAAATTTTATTAGAAAAAAGCATATAAAAAAAAACTTAATGAATGAAAAAGACTATATTATTCCTTCGAATATGCTACAAAAGTTATCTCATTGCAAACTTTGTCGAAAAAAATAAAACAAAACTTTAATTAAAAAAAATTAGTATATGCATATTTACTCCCCCTAGTAATAATATCATTTGAATAATATGTTTCAAATATAAATCCTTCAATGAAAGTTCTAATAGCCATGCCAAATGAGTTACGTATAATCGCATTAACTATATACAT